AATTAGTTTGACCAATGCCTGCCGCCCTGATCACAGGTTCGTCTACTTTAAAAAAAAAAATAACTCCACCATTTTTCATCCAATCTTCATTAAATTTTCACAGAATGAAGAAAATAAGAAAAGATGTAATACTAAAACTTTGTGTGATTAATTTTTTATTTATGGAATAGTTTTTCGTTGGTGGTGTTTGGAGTGTGGATTTTCACGGTTTTTTTTGCAAACGTAAATACTACCTCAAGAAAAAATTCATAAAATATTTTCTAGGACGTTTAGGAATGATTCATTGCTCAGATTTGTAGATCTATGGTTTGCCAAGATGCATTCAAAAAACAATATATTTCCATGAAAAATAAGTGTGGTATTAATTACGTAAGAAGTGTAAAAAAAATCCAATATGGCCGCCGTATCCATGGAAACGAAACTTTTTTCTCGAATTTGCTTACGGATTTTAGGACTCCTTGCTATGCTTGTTATATGTGTGAATTTTGGTAACATTTGATCCCCTAATAAGCGAGATAGCCTTCAGCTGTAAACCCCCCACCCCCCCTCTTAAACAAACATTGTCTCGAAGTGCTTCCATTTGCTCAAACTTACAAACAAACAAACCGGCTGCGTCATCACATTAGCGTGACCGCGCTTGTTCGGTTTAGGCTGGCACTTACAGAACTTGTCCTACAGCTTTCCTTGTGTCGCGAGTCTCAACAACAACCAGGATTGAAGTATCGATTACCACTTGTGGGCACATATTGTACATAATACATAATCTTTGTTGTGGGAAGTGGGAAGGAAATCTTCCGAGTTTGCCGCGCTCTGTTAGCTCAGTCGGAGTCACGATGGTTTCAGGATGACTCTGATTCGAATCCTATAGGTAGGCCTACATCTTGAACTTAAGTTGTTAGATGAGTTTTTAAGGCTTTCTGGCCCATTGGCTCGGCCTCGAAGACAGGCGTAAGATTCGGATGTCCTGCCTCTTAAAAGTTAAATCTGATCATACAGTGTTGAAGGGGGCGTTTGATATATATAGACTTGTGTGATTTGCAATTACATGTATGAAGCTCAAGAACAAAAACAAGAAGGAAAAGAAGAAGATGAAAAGGAAGGTGAAAAAGAAGAAGAAGAAGAAGAAGAAGAAGAAGAAGAAGAATGTTTTACGACGCTCGCAACTGCATAAAGTCATTATGAGCGCGCGGGACACGCTAAACTTTCAGATGGTAGGACATTCTGAATTTTGCCCGGGTGGCGGCCGAAGCCTACTCTTATCGATTTTAGACCACCAAGGGATCTTTAACGAGCGCAACTTGCACACGAGACCTCCGAGATTTTTCGCCCGTGAACGAGAAGGCTAGGTGTAGATCTTTCCTTCCAGAAGATCAGGGGTGAAGTTGAAAGACAGCAGTAAGATAGTAAGAAGGAGTTAAGCCTATGACTGCCAAGAGTTAAGCCCAGAGGATGGGCAAAGGGGGTGAGGGGGTAGGGGCAGAAAATGGAAACAAAAGCAGACGACAGAACATTGCTAGACAGCAGGAAAGAAGGTGAAAGGAGACTATTTTAGAGAAGAAAATTTTTCGGTCGCTCGGATTCGAACCCATGACCTTCGAATGAGAGGCGAACACCTTAACCTCTATGCCACGAGAGCCCCCAGAAGAAGAAGAAGAAGAAAGAAGAAAAAGAAGAAGAAGCAGAAGAAGAAGAAGAAGAAGAAGAAGAAGTGTGCAGGTTTTTCACTTTTGTTTTGTTGTATCAGCTGCCCTGGGTATTTTATTAAACGAGCAGCAACTAGGCTACAGGCCCCCATCCAAAGCAGGCAATATCAGGCCATTACTCATCGTAAGCTATAGTATGTAATATTTATTTCTGGACGGCAAGTCCGGCTTATGAGTCTTTGTATAGAAAGCCCGGCCTTGATCCTGTGCATCGGGCGCACGTGGACATCGTTGAATAATAAAGTAGGAGACGACAAATCTCAAAGTAGTCAAAGCAGATTAGTCTGACCAGGACGCCATTCCCTCCTCCAAGCAACAGATTAACTGCCCACGCAGATCCATCGCGTTGATACGGTTTCACTGTCCGGTCCGCCCTTATAATAAGGAAGCCATTTATATCTGCGTGAAAATATAGAATCAATATTCCGGATAAAAAATATAGGCCTAGATCTAGATCTAGTCAGCTTTCTTAAATTTCCAAGAAGGTTACACCAAGGTTATGGTATCGTAAGTATCAGTCAGCAGTTAAACACTCGATCGTGAACTTTCAAGTAGACCCAGACCATATATATATATATATATATATATATATATATATATATATATATATATATATATATATATATATATATATATATATATATATATATATAGTCCTTAAAATTAGTGGGTGATTGGGTGTCCTTGAGAGTTTTGCTCTTTCTTTCTTTTAATCAAACATCCATCCTTATTGTCTCCTTCTTAAGACCCACTAACCACAACATGTATTTATTGTGTTGCCGGTGTTGTGAAACTCTTTCTAAAATAAAAAATTAACTAAAAAAAATAAGCCTAATGATACCTGCAGTAACCGTACGTCACAATAATGACCTAGCACCAAAACTTTGGGGAAAAAATCTTTGTGTGTGTTTGAGAACTGTCCAATGTTGACCCATAGCTCTGCATGGTTGACCCCTGTAAGTTTGCCGCAAACAATACGCAATGCAGCTTGCTCTCGTTTGACCCCAGAACACTCACGATACAACTCGAAATAAGGAGACGCGAACGCACGCTTCCTAAGACAGAAGGACACGTATTTGCGCTGCTGAACTCAGGCTACACCTCGTTGGCTTTTCGATAAGCTGCTGTATTATTAGTAAAATGAATTAGGTAGGCATTCGGCGTGTTTTACAGCTACTAGATCTAATTGTTATCACGTGCTCAGAGATACGTGCGCCAACCCACACTCAGAAGAAAAGGGGGGAAACATCTATCCTCTATTCGTACATGAGATTTTCTGTGAATTTAAAGTTACCGCCGTAAAGATGATGTACAGTATACTTGTTAAATTCCTAGACGATCTCTTTCATTTATTCATACTGAACAAGATAAGTAAATAAAGTGTTATAAATCATAGTGGGATTGGTGCAGTTCGCGTGTCGCGTGCATCGAATATTTCTTCGCCGCTGAAACTGTGATCAACGTTGCGAAACAGCGAAAACGAACAAGCTGGCGAAGTAGTGGAGCGAATAACTTGTCAGACCAATCCCAAATTTACATAGAAGCCAGGCTAGCCTGTAACCTACTACATGTACTACAACACTCCTCCCTCCTCAACGCCCGCGCGCACACACTGCGCACTCTCACACTGGCACGCACGCGTGTGAAAACATACACACACACATGGACTGAATTGGGTTTTGTTTAGTTTCGCCTATAGGCTAGGCCTAGGCCTAACATAATATGTGACGTAGGCGGATTAATTCAGTAGCCTTATATGTTTCTATAATAAAGCTTTTATTTAATTTTCACGTAGATCTATTCTGTCGTCGTTGCGATGTGTATGCTGTGATAAAATAGCGGTATATTACTACTATTATGCACTATCTGCGAAGAATGCTCTTAATTGCAGTTGATATTATTACGAAGTGACATTTATTATTCTTTAGAAGCATTATTGCTTGTTTTAATTCCACGGCTGTAATATGAAGTTTTTCTATCTTTTTTGTGTGTAGGATAGCTGGGGATTTATACTCGCTGAAGAAAGAGGACAAGAGGGGAGGGGCACCATGGTGACTTACGCTTTTCTAATTGGTCATCACATTCTTGACCAATCTCTATCACATTGTGGTATGTAGGTCAAGAGATGTAATAATATGAATGGGTTATGATCTCAATGTAAAATAAGATTATTAATGTCAAGAAGTACCCTTGTCTCGAACTGTACTAAAAACCACTAAACGGCAAACAATTTTTTCATTTTTATTTTGAAAGAAAATGCACAGATATCTTAAAATAAATTACACACCAAAGGTTACAAAAGATACACGCATTCTCCTCTTTCCACTGTGGTCTGCTCTCGCAAACAGTTTATTACTTATGAAATAAAGGAAGAAAAAAACGAATGAAGATAGTACGTGAGGCCAAGAGGATATGCTCCAGCTTGTGAACGATGCATGAAGTCTTCTCGTATTCCAGGATTCCTGAATTAAATTAAAACGGGACGAGTTAGATCTATATTTGAAACTCTTTCGCACGTGGCTTATTGTTTATGCAGACAGATATAGACTATCCTTGTTTTAAAAGCGTTAAAAGGTATTTGCACAAAGGAAGCATCCAATTTTTACTTCTACCAGTAGGCCTCTGTAACTACAAATATTATGGTGAGCCTCAGTGATTCTCGTTTTCTAACACCTCAAAGAATCTAAGTATGGTATAAAGAGAGTAGAGAAGTGGGACTCCCGCCTCTCAAATTAGGCTACTCGAAAAGGCACAACTCATGTTGAAAATAGGACATTATTGGTTCATTGTAAAGTGCAAGAAATAATTCTTGACTTGAGATGATATTATTCTATGCAATGCAAATTCACGAGATGAACTGTATAAACTACCAGGAGCCACCTTACTCCCCACTTCCACAGGTACGCATGCTGTTTCCTAAATGTGTATTTGTGATGTACATCTCGAGAGTCTTCCCCTGAACAAACTGACCTTTAGTTTTGTTGCAGTTAAGTTAATTTTTAGTCCCCACCCCAACCCCTTCCCGCACACACGAGAAAAAAATTCTGTTCTCAGTATTACCTGAGCATCTAAGTGCATATAAGACACAGAGTAGGCCTATTCATTCTCGCGCGTGTTTACAAGGTTTTCTTGCAAATTCTTTCCTTTTTCAAAAAAGTAAACTTGAGCTTGGCCTAGTTGAACAGGCGTGCCTTGTGTTAACGGTTCGGTTGGTTCACTAAGTGAACACAGCCTGTCTTCTCACGGTGTTGCTAAGCTTGAATGGACTTGCGCACTAGGCTACGCGGATGAATTTTACGCTGCACTATTTATACGCACTATTTTTTTTACGTCTGAGGCGGGCGCGGCCATTTTGCGTTGGCTAGAAGGATTCTAATTTTTATCGCTTTCCATCACACCTTCAAAGTTACCATCTGCCTGTGAAAAAATGGCAGCAGACAGAGAGGATAGTGTTTATCAAGCAAAGCTGGCTGAACAAGCCGAGCGATATGATGGTAAGTGATTTTAATTTAATTGATAGACGCTAGTCGGCCGTTGCCACCACAGCCGGATTGTGCAGCGAATAGATGGATCATTGATAATGTTCTTCAAACTGCTCTGATCTAATTGCTTGTCCTCAGTATTGCTTGGGCATCTAAGTGCATGTAAGACACATGGTACTCATCCTCTTTTGAGGCAATTAGCGTTATTTCTGTTCCAGAAATGCCTCAATGAAAGCGAAACAGTGTCGTCCTCGGCATTCCTTTCATTGCCAAGGCGGGCGCCATCTTTATGAGGAATTGTGACTCATGTGTGTCTCATGTCTTGAAATGAAAGTTCCAGGCTTGTCTTTTACTTCTGCAGTTAGTCTAAGATTTGTTGGAAACCCAGAAATGTTCGTGTAATCTATTGCCAAATGTATGAACAGGCATACTCATAAAATGGTACCGTAGTCTGGTAAACTGAATCAGACATTGGTCTGATTGAGGGATATTTTCCAGTGAGAAAGTGGGATGGGCCGTGGCAGTAGCTCGTTTTTGGGAGTTAACTTTCGAAACCTCTAGAACTCTAGATCTAGTTTTGGTTTGAATTGATAATTCAAATTGTTACCCAAGATTATTTAGGCACCAAGACAGTTTGCAGTCCCGTAATAGTAATGGCATAATGGCAGCAATATCATCATTTGCATGGGCATGCAAAGCCACTTCCTGCTTAGTCAGTGCTCAGGTATTTTCACTAAGGCACTAAGGTGGGATCATGGCAAGTTAGGTCATGAGGAATGAATTGAGAGCTGATAAATAAAGCTGAACCCCAAGTAGACATACACTGGAAGAGGAAAAAATGAGGTTCATCGCCCCCAGACCCAGGAGTCTAGCATGTTGCGACTTGCCTACTTTTGTCATGTTAATGTTATAAGTTATTAGATTCTAGATCTAGATTTCTAAATCTAGTTTAATCTAGATCTAGAGTAAAATTACCGGTTCAGTCAAAATTAGGACGAAAACAGGCACATCGACTTTAAAGTTAAAGCTTTATATCTCTGCTTTGCCCTAGAGACAAACCGAAACCAGCTACAGGAAGCCCTGTGATTGGATGACCCGAGTAATGTACTGTTACTGTTTCAGCTTGTTGGGATATTTGAGGCCCTTACTGGGTGCAAAAGTGACGCCCGATTTATTTACTTATTGAGTCCCTTTTTTGTTTTGGGAAGGGAAGTGGCTATTCTCATCCGGGGTGAGAATAGAAAAACGATCTACCTCTCACCCCGGGTGAGACTTGCGACCGTAGGCTATTCTCACCCGGTTTGAAACAAGACCTGTTTTTCCTCATTTCGGAATACTTTCTATCGATGTGGATGATCAAATTGATAAAAGCCAAGAAAAAATTACGTTATAGCACAAAAGTAAGCTAATTTGATCGTCTTCAAAGATGCTACGGCTATAAAATTTAACTTTTCGAATTGAGCCGAACTACGCGGGTCGCCATTTTGTTTTGACCGGAAGTTCTCACGCTACTCCTCTCTCTCTTTCTCTCTCTCTCTCTTTCTCTCTCTCTCTCTCTCTCTCTCTCTCTCTCTCTCTCTCTCTCTCTCTCTCCACTGCCCACAGACAAAATTGTACGCTTTTAGTAGGCTACAGTTTTAATGGAACGTTTGTTCAAGGCACAGAATTCTACAATTTTTCTGTTATCACAGTGTAGAATTCTGTGGTTTAGGGTGAACGCAAAATTTGTTGGCCTAGATCTAGGCTATAACGGTGAACGCGCACCGGGTGAGAATAGCCAAAAGACTCGCCTGCACTATTCTCACCTAGAGGCAAGAGGTGGCCTTTGGGAAGATTGAAGAATACCGGACCACTCGTACATTATTGCGCGAGAGTGGGGGGTTCAGGGGGGTCTCCCCCCTGACAAAATTTTTAATGAATAGATCTACCGGTCTGAGATTCTCCATTGAGAGATATTAAAAACGGGATAATTATGAATTCCTAAGGTTGAGACATAGGCAAAATCAGTCCGCTGGTCCGGTATTCTTCAATCTTACCTGTTTTCTCATGGATTCGGGCCGTATTTTGACATTCCGTCATTTTCAGTAAGGGAGTGTATACAGACCCGGTAACCGGGAACAAAGTTACAAAGTATACAGACCCGGTAGGGGAACTCTTTTGTGATTCCGGAAAGTTTCAGCGCCCTCTTGGCTCAGGGAAGACCTAGGTTCTTCTAGATCTGTGGTCTAGATCTAGACAGACAGACAAATCATTGATCTAGTTTCGAGGCTAGCCTAGATCTAGTATCTAGATCTAAATGAAGATTTCGGATGTCTTTTCGATGAACGATCGTTTTTCCTCCGTTTTGCATAGCTGCCACTTTCCCGCTAAATAGCGGAAACTCCGCTTAATCTAGCTTTTCCCGCTACTTTCCTCCTTCCTTCGCTGGACCGCTCTCGGTCGCAAATTGCGATACTTTTTTTACACGCGGAAAACACCGAACCGGGAGAGAGGAAAACGCAGCTTGTGCATGACGCATGTCTGCCAGTAGCTTTCTACTTCCGTTCTTCTAGGCCTAGCGCTAGTTTCACTTTGTTTATTGTGGAGCAACGAAGTGTCGATCGGGCATCAGGTCATTAGCGCGCCAAGTTGTCACTGAAAACGGCGGAAATTCGAGAGAAATTGATGCTGCATGCAAAAATAAAAGGAGCTGGAATGAGAAAGAAGCAGCCGATGTGCGACTTGAAAAGTTCATTAGAAAATTGAACAAGCCGCTTGCTGCACTTTGCGTTTGGTGTGATAAAGAAATCGCGGCCCGCGGCACTCTTGTACAATTGCGGTCCCGTTTGTTTACATGATGGCTATTGTGGCTGTTGAAGTGAATCTAGATCTAGATAATCTATTTCTAGATGTAATCTATATTTTCACATATTTAGATATCTAGATCTAGATTAGATAGCCTAGGCTATACTTTTAATTCAATTTAGATCTACACACTACAGGGGCACTACCAAGTTAAGTGTCAACGGGACCGCAATTGTACAGGAGTGCTCAGTACTGCGGCAAAGGTGTAGCCTCCTTGATCCAATACTGCGTGCACTCTACATCGATGTACAAGTTTAAAGTGAAAGAAATCTTTTTATAAGACACCAGCTGGCAACAAACACTGGATTTTTAGTCACCAATTCCAAACTGTGTCAAATTGACTCAAATGCTTGTTTGTCAACTTACTGCCTTCTGTTTTTTTGTTGTTGTGGGTTTTTTGGGGGGGGGGGGGGGGGTTCAAATACATTTTAATTCAGTTGCCTATGGTTAACAAATTTGACAGTTTTCCCTTCCAAAACCATAGGCTAGGTTTTCCAGTATATATTGCCTCTGGATCTCACTGGTTTTACTCTGGCCTTCGGAGGGCGTGCGTCCGCCTTCGCATGAATTTCCTCCTTTTTTGAAATTCCTGAGTGGCAGCTATGGTTTTGGAGTTTGAGGAATCACAATTTGAAGAAAAGAACAATGTCATAATTTCAATAGAGCAGTCACCCCTCTCTCTCTCTCTCTCTCTCTCTCTCTCTCTCTCTCTCTCTCTCTCTCTCTCTCTCCCTCTCCCTCTCCCTCTCCCTCTCTCTCTCTCTCTCTCCCTCCCTCCCTCCCTCCCTCCCTCCCTCCCTCCCTCCCTCCCTCCCTCCCTCCCTCCCTCTCTCTCTCTCTCTCTCTCTCTCTCTCTCACGCACACACACACACACTCCCGGGTCTGGGCACTGAAACTTTCCGAAATCACAAAAGAGTTCCCCTACCGGGTCTGTATACTTCGTGACTTTGTTTCAATAATTATCACATTTGTTTCTTTGCAAGCTTAATAACATTATTTTTAATGCTTGTTATCAACACTTACTTTGACACAATGATAGTTTGTCTAAAGCAAAGTGGTTTTCACCATTTATAGCTATTTTAATGGGAAGGCCTATGTATCTGACCCACTCTGCTACGTGGTATCTGACTCTACTACACTGGCATCTGGCTCATTCAACTACACTGGTCTGACTCTACTACACTGGCATCTGGCTCACTCAACTACACTGGTATCTGACTGTATTACACACTGGTATCTGACACTACTACACTGCTGTCTGACTGAGCTAATATGCTGTATCTGACTCGTATTAAATTATGCACAAAATCTTGATTCTTTATTATATAACCATTGGCACTGTATTATCTTATGTGCCCGAAGGATGAGAAACTACGGATTTTGTTACAATCCGGGCACCCCCCCCCTTTGGGCAAAAACGGCAAAACTGTACTGCAAATTCTCTTTCGTCCTTGATAGGGCCTCATATGCAAATAACTCTCCAGCTTTCAGAGTTTACCAAAACGTAGAATCTAGGCCACAGGCTCCTTCATCCACAACCATTGTTAACTCTTCCGGGAAAGAGCTTCACGCTGTTTAGCTCAGTTGATGAAGAAGCTGTCTTAAGGACTATTTTTAGCAAAATATCACAGTAACTTTTGTTTCAACCAAAGTAAGGGATGCCAACTTCTGAGGAACGGGCTGGTGCTTATCATTTTCAATGACAGTGACAATTGTGTCAAGTTTCCTGACTACTGAGTCCAAACCTGATGGTACTGCCCTTATTGTGGGGATGTTTGAGACTTAAGTCTTGATCAAAATCATAATTGTATTAACGAAGTGTATACAGACCCGGTAACCGGGAACAAAGTCACGAAGTATACAGACCCGGTAGGGGAACTCTTTTGTGATTACGGGAAGTTTCAGCCCCCAGACCCGGTAGAAATCTAGTGTGTGTGTGTGAGAGAAAGAGAGAGAAGAGGAAAGGGAGAGAGGGGGGGGTGCTAGCAAAATGTATATGACATGCCCCAGTTGACAGGAGGGAACGAGAGAAAGATAGAGTGGGAAATAGGTGGGGACAAAGAAAGACAGAAACAAGCAAAGAAAAAGAGAAGGCGAGCGATACACAGAGGAGAGGAGAGAGAGAGGGAGAGAGAGAGAGAGAGAGGGAGAGAGAGGGGGGGGGGGG